TATCGAGTTTATTGTTAATATACAATTAACGCTTCTACCAAGTGCTAATCAAATTAATACAGTTTTCTAAAAATTAATTATATGTACAGTCATTATAGGTTGTTTTTTCGCCTTTGTATCATAAATTATCACGAAATTGCTGTCTTCTATTAAAATGAAAATGATTCTGATGAAATATTGAACATCAAGAGGGGACATTAAAAAGAATTGTTCATATTGAAATATGCCTAATCAGTAGACTAGCATAGAATAGATTAGCTGTACACAAAGATGCAGAATTCATGTTGACAGATCAATTGTATACATAAATAGTATAATGCTTGTGCATAACGTGATATACTTTACTCTAATAGCACTACTTACTGTTTGAACGTAATCAAAATACAGAAGGAATTAAATAAATATACATTCGGTCATTATTATAAATTCCTTATCAAATTATATTTTCATAAACATAAACACTATATATAAAAGTAGAAAAGTGGTTTTCAGTTTTTAGAAAAAGAAATATAGCGTACCACATTAATGGAGGACTGATTTGATTTAGTGATCAGGCATTAGTTCACAATCTTATGATTACAATATAACTAAACCGTTTTGTCAGTTAGCGATTATAATTATTTTGGTCCCGTACAGATTTCTAAAAACAAACAGCATTTGTCAATAATAATCCTGATTTTCTAATAATAAGCAGTGATTTGTGGAGGTACCTAAAGATAGAATAACATACCTACCTATGACTGTTAAAAGTAAACAATGGTAAGTTGTAAATCTACTGAAAATGAAGGGTTGACCTCTGAATTCCAACTTGATTATTGAGTGATATGATATCACTTCAAAATCTTGGAATCGAAGGTATCCACAGTCGAGGAGTTTCAAACCAGAAAAGTAAACCAACCTAATGCTGCTTGGTCTTTATTAGTTATCCAGCAAATTGAATGAAATCATAATCCTATTCTAAACAGTACCAGTTTGTCGTGTAGAAATGTTATTTAAATACAATGTAATCTGCTTAATAAGACTTCCATTTTCAAGCTGACAGTATGCCGAATATGAACATGTTAAATAAAAGGGGTAACACTGTTTACTAATAATAACAAAGATGAAAGAAAAGCGCTTTAGTTGTTGAAGTTTACGCAACCGGCACTTTAAAGAAATGAGAATGAAACATAATTAAGTACTTCATATACAATTTAAAACAAACAATCCAGTAGATGAATGAGTTATGTTAAATGTTCATAAGCATAAACAAATAGGTCTTGAACATATTCTAAAAACAGTCTTCATTAAAAAAAACGGAACAACTGTTCCCTTGTAGTTGTATTGTTCATATACAGGAACTTTTATTGTCTGGGCAAGTGGTTAAGCTTATACACCACTGCCCTGAAAAAAAATATCTTGAACATTCGCAAAGTTGACAGACATTTTACTAGGCTACACATATAGCATACAGTATTGTCAGGGTTGTCTCAGTCATTCTATCCAAATATAATTCAATAAAGAAAAGCTAGGTAGAAACTGTGTTAGTGACTTAAACCAACAATTACTGTGTTTATGTTTTCATGGAACACACAATAAATCTACCAAACTCTGACGTAAATATCTTTGAAATATAATCATAACTACGGAGCACTAAACAGACGAATCAATAAAAAACAATCTATATTTTATGCATCTAATAATAGGTGATGTATTCTAAATATGAAACAGACAATATTTTTGATGCGAATTTGTAAAAACTACCTGTACAGATGATTTTCATAAATATAACTTGAGCTTTTGAAATTGAAACACATAGGAAACTTTCTTCTTGCTAGAAATTTTAAATCAACATGGTTTATTTTTACTTCAAGATTCCTTTATTCTTTCAGAAAAACTGATGTGTAGGTTATCAGATTCATGTATTTGCATTGTTGCACCTGTTGTAATCCATTAGGGAAATTTGTTTCATTGTGTGATTTGGAAATATTCAACTTCAAAGTACACAGAATTGTTACTGAAGTTGGTGACAAATGGACCATCAGAATGATACTTTCATGTAGTTTCACGATGGTGCTTAGAAAGGCTGCTCATAAAAGTTATAAATATTTTGTCTACGACATTATGACAACGCTACTAATAACCTTAATTCTATCCTGGAATTCACTTAGTTTAATGGGTGTTTTGAGTATTTAATGAAGTTCTGTGATGACAGAACTATACAGTGTTACAAAGGCAATTCTTCAGTGACCAATAAGTGATTTTAGTTGTAAATACCATAGATGACAATAACTTATTTACGAAGCAAATATTAATTTACTTGGATTTAACCCACACTTTGTATAAAGGCCAGGCCATTACCAGTTACCCAAACAGATGTAGGTGAATCATGATTCGAACTCGATGCCTAATAATTTAGAACTAAATGCCTTTATCATCAAGACGTAAATAAAGGAAACTATCGTCCCTAAGTGATTAAATTCAATGATAAATTACGAAAGATAACTTTGATGTTTCTCACTGTTCATTTCTAAAATAATGTACTCACTTTATACAAGTTTACTGATATATTTAAATCAGAATAACCGTGATTATTATTTCTCTGTAGATTAGTGAATTCATTATTGAATAAATCAATACCTGACATTATAAATTCATTGACTTATCAATTTTGTAGCTTAAATATATGACAATACGTACTTTTTTAACTATTAAAAACATTTTTACTTTTGAATAGATTTTGGACTTACTTTTCTAACGATTATCAATAGTTCTACATAACGACAAGGTTCATATAGTGGAACAGAAGAAACAAATAATCTTTAAAATAATAGTCCAAAACTATTCATTAATTATCTCTTAGAATAATGACAATATGTTACAAGTAGGTCTTATCAGAAAATATGTAATATGCAGTAGCGTTTTGTGTAATTTCGTTCAGAGAACACCTATTGATTTAACAAGAAAATTGTTAAAGGAATTCATATATTTACTGACTGGTGAAGCTAGATAGATATTGTTAATGTTTTATGATAATTATACATGGATATTTGTTGTGAGAAGTTAGGTTTACACAGGTGGATACAACAAATTTTTGGTCACTTCGAGAACTTTGATCTTTTGAACTTATTTTAGAATACAATAATGGTTATGCACTTCTAAAGGAATACAAATGAAGACAAAACTGTTATTCTGTAATCTAGTAGTATACATTACACATGTCTATTTATCTTTCAGAAACTTGATAACAATTTTACATTTTTCAGTGGTTTGGTTTCAAACTAATTATGTACTGGGAATTTATTCAATACTTTTCTTTGCAGTTTTTTTTATTGTGAGATGACTCGATTTTCTTGCATTCAATAATGAGCTTATTCAAAAAGGATTGACAGTTCTGATCAATAAATTTTAATTGATTTACTCAGTTTTAGCAACTAGACACCTTGAACAGTGCCTCTCCTTAGTAGAGGTGTTCTTCGTCTTTCTGTTTGAAACTTACTCAAGCCTACTAATATGAGGACTCGGGAAAGTGAAAAACTAGTGAGTTAGTTTTCTATGGGATGGGGTCGCTAACCCCATGCCCAACCCACCTCCTTTACCCGGGATTGGGACCGGCAGTAACTCTAGAAGAGCTAAAGGCGGAGTTAGTTTAAGTATTAGATAGTAAAGAATATTTTTCACTAATCAATCAGATTTGGTCAGAAGAATACTTTAACTTACAAGTTGATCTTACATAATAATGACTTCGAAAGTTGTTTAAAACACCTGCAGTTTTTGCATAATCATTTGTATCTACTAAAACAATAAACAGTAGCTCAAATAAAAATAAAAACCTTTTATCTGGAGCAATTTCATTATCGGTAGTTTTTAAAAGACTCGAAGGCGAATTTCATCAAAAACTGTTATTCATCCAACAATTAACAAACTAAAGAGCGAAAATGATAAGTATCAATTATTATTTCACGGTTCTTTAAAAATATTTCAAAACACAAATTAAAGAGCTACCGAATTTAACGAGCCTCATGTATTTATATGTATCATAATGGTACATGAATTTGTACTGAACGTAATAATATCTACTCTAAAGATTATTTATGTTGAAATATAACACCAAAGTAACACTACTTATCTCATGTAAAATACTCAATTTTCATAGTTTATTCATACATTTATGATTATATAATAATTTCTAATCAAATAAATGAATAGAATTCAGTATGGGTATTATAAAACTATAATATTTATTGAGTATATTCTCAGTTTGAATTCTTTAATACAATGAGTGTATATTCACACTAATGAAATCATGAACACTTAAAGAGATATGTAGATAATATCAGTTCATACTTAATATATAAACACATGAAATATGAATTGAGATATAAGACAGTCACTAGTAAGTGTTGTCGTTTTTTTCTTTCAGGTTATTTCATTGATCTTAATAATAATAATTCTTACTATATTTCAAATGTTCTAGATATTAGTCAACACATCTATATATACACAGCTTATATGTTGTTGTAGCAAGTACTTCATATTATTTTGAAAGCTAAAGGACCAATGGTTAATTTAATACAGTTAATACTTCAACCCTTTTTCTATCTATCTACCTACCTACCTATATATATATATATATATATATATATATATATATATATATATATATATATAACACGTTAATTCAATGTTGATTGTATATTAAGTTAAGTTCATAGAATCTAATTCATTTTAAAGTTATAGTGATGATATTTTTAATGTATTTGATTCAAATGAACTTCTGTTGAATGTTAATATTAACCTTGTTAATTATCAAACAATATTGAATTGTTTATATCATCTTATTGTTATATTCATCATTTGTTTCCTGTTTTTAAAAAACAACAAAAGCAAAAAGAAATCTGTCTACATTATACAATAAAGGGAATTAATTATTCGATGAAAGAGATGTATAATTGATATTTGAATATTTATTAATTAATAAATGGATTGATAAATATCTTTTTATGAATATATGATTACTGATGACTGCGAATGTTGCATATCAGTTAGCTTGGATGGAATTATTGGATACAGAGAATAAGTATATCCATTTATTACAAGATGTTTATGATGTAAGTGAATATATTTTTAAATAACAATCAGCTTTTTTTAAATGACTTCACAATTACAAACTGTTCAAGGTATAATAAGAACTTTTATTGGTTTAAGGGAATACACTTACATAACTGTCGGCCTGCTTGAGCATCTGGGCTACCTGTTCTTGTCATCTAGATATTTCAACAAGTTATCTATTTTTGTTTGTTTTAATATATCATTATGTCTATTAATCGCATAACCTATTCTGGTGCGTTTCCGAAAAGTGTACAACCTTTCACTGTCAAAGTTACAAACAGCCCAATAAGAGATAATGTGGTCACTGGCAATATGCAGCGAAAAGAATATACATTATTCAGGTGTTCATTTACTGAACTGCTAACATCTAACTGGCGATCACTCAATATTTATCGCCAGGACCGACGAAGAAGAAAGAAACGGAAACTTGTTGAAATACTTTGTGCTGAGAATTCTATATTGTACCAAAAATATTATATTGAATAAAGCTGATAATAATAATGATAAATGTTCAGGTAAAACTGTCTACAAGTTTATATCGGTTTTACTTATTTACTGTTAAACTGGATAAGTTTAAGGGTTACGTTACCTGGTTAATTGTGTATTAATATATGTTGACAAAATGAATAACAAACTTCAAGATTTTTAAGTTGAATTATTAAATAATCCATTCAGGGGCACTGTCACTAAGCTGAATGATTATCAACTAACACCTTAATATATGAACCCACTTTATATTTTTGGTTCGTTTATTCTAATATTCTTAACACAGCCATGATAGAGTTTGTGTTTTTTCTAGAACCATTATTCTAAGGTGATATTAAAATAAATAAGCGAGTAACTTAGTTGATAACTTTCGTATCTTATCACCTTGTTGCAAGCAAACTATGTAACGTTTGAATATTGTTGTTATCATAAAGAAATGAAAATATTATATTCTAGACATTCTGATTAAAACAGTCATTTGATAATGACTAGCCTCTGCTGACTGCTAGGCTTTGTCAATAATTCTCCAAAGATACACTAATGATTTTTATCATGATATTTAATTTTGCTGTTCCCGGAATAACGATTTAATCAGGGGAAGATCTATTAACAGATTAAAAGTTATCAAATCTTAGAAACAGTTTTCATCTAGCTATTGCAAATCAATTAGCAGAAGTATGAGGTAAAATCAAGCAATCATATGAAAACTGATAAATTGGAGTATCCTATTTCTATGTTTAACAAATAAACTTAAATAATATTATTTAAAACAAGCAAATATATCTAAATAGATAAAAGTGATTAGTTAAGCCAGTCGAACACTAAGATTTCAAGAAAATCTAAAACGTTTAACCAGCAAGTTTTTGTTATTTTCATCACAGTTCTGTATAATTATACTGAAACTGAAACTGATCAATTTATGTTCGTATATATGCCTTCTGAGCGAACCGGTTCAGCAAGTTTGGATGGATTTGAAGGGCAGTTAAAAGCAGATTCTAAAGAGCCTACTTTATCCCATTTGGAATCCATCAGTTAAAAGTACGTGGATCCAAGTGGTGACGTTTGTTGTACTCATTTCAGTTCTTGTTATAATATTGTTAAAAAAATTTTTTTCATGCCTATTTCTATCATTTACACAGAAACTTTTGTTTTCGTTATTTCGTATATACCAATTGAATTATTTTATAATTCAGAAGGTCATGATAAACAAAGAAATTGACTATAAAACATCAGTTGGTATTACACAGATTCCACTTACTCAATTAAAACAGAAATTACTTGGGAATTGGTTTGAATTACTGTCATTTCATAAAATGTAAGTTATTTACAATTGTTTAACATAATATATAAGAACTTTCGTTTAAATTTAATCGAATAGTTTCACAGTATTTGGGCATCGAGTTCATGTTTAGCATAATATTCATCTTTTATAACCTGTAAATTGTCTAATTTTTCAGATAGTATAAGTAGTCTAAACTAGACTATAATGGTTAATTATTATTTAACTAAAAAAATATTATAGTGAATTCTTTCGACAAATCAATTATTGGATCGATAACACTTATGTATGTATGGAGATTTGAAAATATTTAAATATTGTCACATGATCAATATTTAAAATTCAATGAGAATATTTAAAAATTGTTGAAAACAGTTTCTTAATATTTATCTTATCTTGAAAATCATATAAGAAGTGATATTCCTTGTCGATTGAACGCTACTTGTTGATTGTTGTGTTGGAAACATTTATCACTTATATTCGAAACGAGGGAACTCTGCAGTTCCCATGATGCGAAAGTAAGAACACAAAGACTGGTATAAGTGAAAATTTATTGTCCCCAAAACACGACGACGACCGTAGTCGAAAATACACTAATTTCTGTGTTGATTCGTACACCGATTTTGATTAATAATTAGAATAAAATCACATAGATGAAAAATGAAATAGTTAGATTTTTTCTATATGATATATGATTATTGTCAATATTTTGAAGCTCAGAGTACATATGTACCATACAGACTTACTAAAACCCAGCCCTGAATGTCAACAACTGGAAGACCAAAAAACTCTTAGGAATGATAAATATAATATCTGTTAAACACGCTAGTCAGTACTTATACTCAGTTGCTTAGCAACTAACTAGCTACTTATGTGGTAGCTATGGGAATCGAATATGAATATCAACATTGAGATCCAGGTACCAGCGAATCAGTTATAGAGTCGCTTTTTCAATTTTTCAGATATTTTAATTTTCTACTTTCGACACCATTACTTCCTCATTTTATTGATTAAGGATTCTTTTTGTAAATTGCTCAAACATTGATTCTGGATGGTTTAGGTGTTTTCAAAACAGTGCATATTTAATTTTATTAAGATTTGATTTTTTTTATACACTCATCCGTTCTTGGTTGGTTGTTCTCTTGTTTCTGGATGCTAATTTTTGTCATTTACTACAGAGTATATGATCCTTAAATACCACTAGATCTAGGTACTATGTTTCAAATTAATGTCATCATTTACTTACAGGGTTTGACACGTAAAGCAGTCTTAGTTTATAATCCTCGGGAGGATTCTACAACTGAAAACGTAACTCTATTAGCTGCGATAAGTAACCACAGGGACCTTCAGTAGAATGCTATTCACTACATAATCAAGAATTGTATGAATGATAAAGTCCACTTTTGTTAGGTGAAACTTTTCGAAATGACTGTCATTACGTAATAATTTTATCTGAAGAAAAATAGAAAGTTTTAACTCACTGGAAAGTATTGTATTTATAGATTTCAATTCACATGATAATTTTCTTTGAAAAAATATGTAGATCCAAGTTATCGAATTTATTCGGGTAATTTGATTTGTCCTCAGTAAACGAAAAAAGTAGCTAAAATATTTCCTCTGGGATTCTAAACCTTTAAACAACAAAACTTTTTCCCCACTATGATATACATTGCAGGCATGTTCTACCTACATTGAAAGAATGCAATGGAAATGCTAAGATGATCAAATATTGGGCTTCTGTCATGGTATGTTCTATTTCGTAATTAGTTTTCGAGTCATTTTATATATTAGTAGCCAAGTGATAGCCGTAATCCTCAATTATGCATATCCACTTAAATTTTATTCTTCGAAGGTTTGTTTTATTGAGGAAGAATTGTTACAGTCTGTGGTTTTACGCACTCATTGCGCGAACTATTAGATCTTGAAAAGACTAGCTATGGAGACTTTATTTCTAAAAACAAACAATGATTTTTACAATTTATGCATATTTTGCAGGTGATCAAATCGACACGAATAACGACACTCAGAGGGTGACTTCGGTTACATAAATAATTTGTCAATTGACACTACCTCGCCTACATTTTCATCTCAACTGAGATATTGTATGATATGTCTGGCATTTCTCAACATATGAATAATTGACTAAGCTAGTGAGTTAGACAATTGTGTGTTGGTAATTTCGTGAGAAACACCTTCCATCCTTGTATTTTGTTATAAAGTTTATGTATTTCCATGAATAAATGCATAATGTAAAAATAATATAAACTAACAATTTTTCGAATGGCCGGAAGTAGTTGGCTATAAGTCACACATAACTTTTAAGAAACTAATGCACCTTCGATACTTTATGTATGCTTCAGTCAGTGACAGTAGAATATTTTCAGCTTAACTATTTGATTTCATCCGCCACAAAAAGTGAAGAATATTGGTACAATCAAAAACCCAATTTTAAAATTTTTCTAACCGAATCTATTCAGTTCTAACCTTATCTGGACGATAAAATTACGCCTAATCCTTTGAGATTTATAGTAGAAATTAAATCATCATCTGACAAATGGTTTATCTATTCTACGACTGTTGGTCAAATAATTATAAACCAAATTGAAACTCTCCCTCTGCTATAATAAAATAAGAAGTTAGTACCTAATATAAGAGAGTACTTCTCATTGTTGTACTGTCAACTCAGTTCATTTAATTGAACGCTAAAATATGAGAAGGTTAATCAGTTTACTCGGCTGCTCAAATGGAAATTGGTTGACTGTCCGTTCAGAATATAATATTCATTGGCTTATGCATAACAGTTCCTTTAGAAATCTGCTGCTAAATTATGATTTCTGTTGTGTTGATCCGTTTTAATGAGTTCTCAAATATAAACATGCTATCAAATGAAAGGAACATTGTTTAAGGATAAATGGTGTTAATAAATGGAAAGGGATATTACTGAATTGTTGTTACTGTAATCAAATGGTACAGTTAATAAAGTGTAACCGTCATATGCTGAATTAATTTTTAAATAAGTATTACATTTAAAATTTTCAATAAACAGCAATCATCAGAACTATGTGATACATTAGCGCAATACCTTTCGAACAATCTGATCACTCACATACTTGTTAAAAACGTTTATATATAAAAAGTTTAAAGGGTTAACTGGACTGAAAATGGAGGGTAAGCGGAAACAAGGATAATAAGAAATAATGCGAAAACAATTTGAAACCTAATCACTCTCGATAATAAGCTAATATTACCAAGGTAGGTTTAAGGTGAGAACAAACTGTTTTTGAATAGACAAAGGGGTTTGAATTTTAATATGGTTAAGGCTTCAATAAACCTTAGTATACGCCCTATTACACTTTTGTACAACACCACAAAAGCCGAATTAAGATTAATCTTATGACGTGTTTCAATTATGTTTCACAATAGAGGATGATGGATGCTTACTATCTACTATTATGGGGTCATTTGATTTCATTTGTGTTTGCAACTATTTAGGTACATGTTCACACATCCTAACTTTACGATCACATAGAGAAGATTAATCGTAATCTGCCTAGTTAACCCTTTATTTTTATATATAAATGGTCTTAACAAGTATATGTCCGATCAGATTGTTCGAAATGTGTTACGTTAATATATCACATAATTCTGATAATCTTTATCTTCTTGTTACACTACCAAAATTTATCGAAAAGACTAATTGCTTCAAGCAATAATTCGTCTACACATGAATGGCAGTGAAGAAGGATTTTGTGAGTTATATTTTGCATAAAACTTTAATTTAACTCGAATTAGATTGTATAAATGCATGAAATATCCAAAGGAGCAACTATAAATAAAAATAGTATATTTGTAATATCCCAATGAGTAGAAAATTAGATTATCAAATCAAATCTTGGTAATGATGCCTACAAAGGAGCAACTGTTGTTGGACATTCCTTCATCATTTGGTAATGAGATTGAAGGGATTAAAACCTGGTAAGATCAACTCACGTACCAATTAAGATAAACAAAATTTTCGGTTTGAAACGTTTCTATTCATCACTTTAGATTTTATTCTCCAACATACTTTTTGTCGTCGTTTTCTTTTAAAATTTAGGCACCATGCTTCATTGACCTGTATACTATGTACTGTTTGTTCCATGAAAAGACAAAACGACTATGTACTTATTTAGGAAACGTTTCATGTAAAAGTGTGAATTTAAAAAAACCAAAGGTAAAAAATGAAACAATTGGAGATTATAACACTAATACCGAGTTATTTAAATCTCAACTAACCAAACCTGTACGACGTATTCAGTCTTATCATCTATTATTGAATAAACTTCAAAAAGAAGCGAACTTATCTGATGTGTAAGTTTGACTAAGGTTTTCGATAAGTCAACTAGTAATTACGGTATATTCTCTGTCAAACTTTCATTCTTTTAAGAATTTGTAGCTTAGTGTTACTGATCGGGTTAAGTTGTTTATTGGTTTCGATGATAGACTGACGAACCGACCAGTACAAATATTTCAGTCACATTTGGAATGAGCCGCCACCTATGTAATATAGTTTTCAGATCTATGAGAAACTGAGTTGGTAAAGTTAGTGATTTTGGGTGTTAATAAATTTCACAAGATTGCAGTTAAGAACTATGATGAATTTGGCTCAATCACGAACCAAAGTGGAGGATGTCCCCCCGACTAACTTTCGACAATCAACATCATACAATGTTTAACACACGTTAAATCGATAAAACTGGTGGACGCGACGCAAACATTGTCGAAATATCATACACATAGTTCCCTTTATCGAAATAGTACAAATAACGCTAATAATCAGATTGTGTGACATTAACCAATACGCGGTAATCAATTAAAGTAAATACAATATTTAAATGTCAATGTGAAACAAACTTGTTAGCATTTGAAAACTCGAAATAACAATGTGTAGGTTGACAGTGAATTAGATAGTTCTCACCAACAAGTCCCAAGCCTTACAAGATCTACTAGAAAATGAGGAAACCTCTATGGAGAACAGCTGAGAAAGGATTACAGAGACAACTAATTTAACATGTTAGGAAGTGTTGGACCCCAAAGAGTGTCAGTACAAAGAATATGTTTTTGTAGACAGTTTAGAAAATATCCACAAGAATGAAAGACGAGAAGAGGTCACCCAATAACAGCTGTGGGAATCAATCGAATGGAACTCATAATTATACGTAAACTTTTTCATAAGATAACGTAGATATGAAAGTCCTGAAGAATCTTCTTTGAAATTATGGAGTAATTGAGAAGATCGTTGCCAACGTACGGAATCCTAATGATGGATTACACTTCAAAATCGGCCCTGGAGGATAGCTCACAGATGCATTACAAGTAAAAACTGGTATCAGAAGAAACTTTCCATTATCACCCTTTCTCTCCCTTCTGGTCTTTTGACTGGATTATTAAGATCTTTACATCTCACGGACAGCACGCAATATAGTAGACACCATGAACCGAGCTATATGATTTGAACTTTGCAGTTGACTTAGCCCTTCAACCATATATACGGCAACAAATCCAGACAAAGACCAAGTAGCGCGATCTTATGCAGAAGTAGCCATCAACATTCGAAAGAAAAAAGTAAGATCCTAACATATAAAACAGTGTGCACCGACCAGCTCTGGAAGAGGAGGAGACTTTTACGTACTTGGGTAGTATTGTTGATAAACAAGGTGGATCTAATGCAGGTTTGAAGGCACAGATTGATAAAGTGAAAGAAGTATTCCGACAATTGAAGAACATTTAAACTCAAAACAACTATCAGCCAACAACAAAGTCAAAATTTCCAAAGCTTATATTAATGAAGTTCTGTTGTGCGGAGCTTTAACTTGTAGAACTACAGCCATCATCATCAAAAAGGTACAGGTATTTATATACAACTGTCTACACAAGATAACCCATACCTATCAGTTAATGACCATCAATATTGGCTTTTTGTGTCAAAGAACAAACCAGCCTGCTAGTTGAGGTGGAAACTAAAAAAAGACACAGGGGGGATAAGACATACTTTGTGGTACCTATCAAAATGTATCCCAAGGAAGCTCTAACATGGAATCCTGAAGCCGGAGAAAAAGCAGAGAGAACAAGGAACACATTACGCCTGAACTTAGGGGAAGACGTTTGAAGAATGGATAACACTTGGGAACAAGTGAAAAAGAAAACATGGGACAGGATTATTTAGAGATCCCTGTACGGTGGCCTATAATCCACGAAGGGTTTTAGGCTTGAGTAAGTAAATGTATTTTCACATAGTGTTACCTATCGATCGTTGAATGGTCCATTTGATTAGATTAATTTTATCACGAATTTAACCTAAGGCAATTAAAAAAGTACCTTCTAAATGTTTAGTAAATGTCGATAAAATTCGTTACCCTCGGCATGAAAACGTTACTACTCTGATATTCCGACTGGTAGCTCCAAATATTCTTTATGTTGCTAAGCGACTGAAGCAAAACTGAATTTAATAAATGTTCTGATTCTGAGATTTTTAGTAATCCTGGCGAAAGACTGTGGACATTACACAGAATACTCGTCATTAAGTACATTTTATATATCACTATAGCAGAGAATAATGATATAGAATTTTTCATTGATGTCATATTTACAAAGATAATTCTTCAAAATTGGCCACTACCTTCAGAAATTTGATAAATATTCAAAGCATACTTTGATATTCACTTTTTACCTTACATTCTGCCATAATAAAAAAGGAAATAAACCAACATTTTCAATCTAACCTAATCAGAATGTTAATGTTACTTATCCTACAGTCGTCAGTCAGTCAGCTACAATGTAAGACCAGGCACATATATGCATCGGTCCAAGTTGCCACACCTCATGTAATGTATAAAAGAAAGATTGTGTGTAAGGATATAATAAAGGAAGAATGAATTAGTTCGTAGAAAGAAAGGTATAAAGTGATTTTAATCTCATGGTTTAAGGGAAAACAAAGAGTGTACACACCTACGCGATTGTGATTGATTCGAAGCCATGTCACTCAGAGTTTCCAGCCATTAGTTACGATAGTCACTCGGACCCCAACCAAGTAGTCTGCATCTACCAACATGGCTCAGACCAGAAGTTAATGACTTTATGGACTGATACCATGTTTTGTTTTGGCCGCCCTCAGCTTTCTTCCAACCTTCTCCAACACTAGTCAGCATTGTGCGTCGTGGTAAACGGTGCTCAGGCATACGTAACACTGTTGATTAATTAATTTTTGTAACTCCTTTGTAGAAAACGACAAATTTTATCATTCCTAATATTTTAAAATCCGAATTCTATATTTAAAGTTTGTAATAATTTAAATTACAAATATTTGTACTTTTTTAAATTTAAGTAAATACTTGGACGATGCTCGTCAAATATTCAACAGAATATGTGATACAGTAAATGTGACAATGAATCTGCGTGGTTTGACGGTAATTATCAACAAATATTATCATGACCTTTTTTATGAGTTATTAAGCTTTCCTAATTACAGATCAACAATCTATATACATTGAACGAATTCACTCATTGATAATGAACAGTTAACCGCATTTAATAAATGTAGATACTTCATACACCAATTATCCAGTAGAAAAGTAGAAATTCACCGTTATCTAGATAATGATTTATTGTTGGTTGTTCTCCTATGAAACTTGAAAAAAAATGCGAAATTCCTCTCAAGTCGAACTCAGTCAACAAAGTTATACAATTTTTAATTTGTATCAACAATAAAAATTATTTATGTTGTAACGGGTGGACTGCAGGTTTTGATACGCAGCGTTTATATCGATCGACTCAGTGACGCGTAACACGTAAGGACGACCTAGAGTCCCGATTGGTCCCGCTTCCCTGTCTAGCCCAGCCAGTTGAGTCCAGAACGCAAGTAACAGCCCCTGAGTTATGAATCATTGTATTTCAGAAATACTCTATTTATATACTAACCAAACAAACCACATCGTACCATAAAATAGAAAACAACATTTACACAATATTTAACAAGTGAAACAAACATCGACGAAATGGAAATGCCCATTTAACGTTCAAGGACACCATTCGACTTAACACGATAATTATTGGCATATTCCTCTGCATACCTAACAATTTATATCTGTAATATGTATTGTGATACCATGTACTGTTCAAACATTTCTGATCTGAAGATTAGATAATTTAATATCCTATTTCTTTTTTATACATATCCCAATCGAACTTATTCAATAGTCAATAAAATAAATAAAACACTTAAGATTTACGATTGTATATAGAAGTTTGGTGCACCAATCTTTGTTCTTACTCTTTTTAATCTGAATTTCATAAACAAAATGATATTTCATCATTATGGACTACAATTAAAAATTGCTTATTTCTGTATTAAAATAGCCATTATATAAAGGAAATATGAATGAGTTGTCGTTGAATTATTTTGCGGCTAAAATTTCTGAAAAACATATCATTAGAAAAGTTTATATATGAGGTGCCAGGAAAAAGACATTCTTTAAGGTGGTTAGTAAAGTCATGTGAAATGTAATGTCGAGGTAGTTATGGTAATAATGATAATAATAATAATAATAAACCATATAAATTAAGGAAAATGTATGCGTAGTCAAGAAGGTTGAGTAGGATCGAGACAGAAGAGAAACAAATATAAACATGAGTTAAAGTTAGGTGTTCATTATATGTACCTCAGTAAAACGTTTATCCTATTGTCGGCCATGGAAAACAGATCAGACTGAATATATATCATTTAGATAGACAAGTATTGTTTTATTAAAACTGATATCAGTATACATAGTCTTTTTAATAAATCATTCTTGGTTCATAAATGAATGGTTTTTTTTTTATAGATATTAAGTTCCGTATCCATCAGATAAAATAGAATGATACCGGATTTTACAACCCGTTTCCAATCAAACGAGTACATTTTTATTTGTTAATTTCTTTTTCTCATAGTTTATATTACTGGTCGATTTTATTTAGACCAACCCTAAAGACCAGATGCCACTGGAGAGCCGTGACAAGTCAAGTTGAACCATTTCGAGAGGAAACCAGTTATCCATATAAGGTAACGGAAGATCTCAATGCGATATTGCAAACTGATTGAAAACGGATACTTAGATTACTAGAGATCGGCTCAATAGTCTAGAGTTTTAGCTGTTACTTCAAGGAAGAAGGTTCTAAGTCTTATTTTTGGTGGTGTTTTGGTTACGCAGTGCTGATGAGTCCTATACAGAGGCAAAACGTCTGTCCAGTGCTTTTCGATTTTTAATCATCATCTATACAAATTCAGTCCGCAATCAAAACTATAAAAATGCAACACTCTCCTCAGAACTTCCATACTAATTTATTGTTTGCTAATAATTCATAAACTTTAATTATGCATAGATTCAATCAACAACACTCACGTAATTTGACTTATAGATCACTTTCTGACTAGTTACAAATTTATTTGTTTGCTTTACAGTCTGTTCTGTTCAATTTTAATTCTATTTCTAAAACTACTATCATTTTATTTTTATTTCCAGGTAGCGCCATCAAAGTTAGGACATTTTTTGCTAGAAGCTGATTTTACTGTTAACCAAACAATCAAACCTACAAAGTCAAAACGACATTTTCATGTAATTTTATTTACTGAAATGTTACTGTTAACAAAATACCGTGTTTCGTTTAAAACATCAATTTCTAATAATAAGAGGTAATCATCTTTTTTTACTGAATGTAATACGATAATTGTTTATTTTTCAGCTCTGAAGATCAGTTTCCAAATTTGGATGATTATTTAGCATTCTTTGATTTTTCACATAATAGTAAGCTCAGTGGTAATAAATCATATGAAGTAGAAGAAGAACTTTGTGTAAGTACAGGTTCTTTTTAACTTTTCAGTAAAAGTAGTTATTAATATTGTTAACTTTACAATTTGCATCATGGACAAAGTTTAGTTAAACAGCGTTTGAAAAACAGAATACACTTAACAGTTGTTATATCCAGATACGGAACTCTTCAGGAGAGCAAATTCCCTACCCTAACTGAGAACAAACCTAGGGTCTCTAGAATTATCTGCTAGTATTTTACCTTTGAACTGCTGAGTTAGTAACCAGCAATTGACATCTTCAACATTAATAAACTTTTAAAACCAAGTCATAAATTATTTATAAGTCTATATACTTCATGAAATCAACGTTGAGTCAAGGAGTTAAAACAAGTAGAAATTATTCGAAGTCATTTTAAATTAGAACAGAATTATAAAAGTGTCTAGTCACTGAGTGATTCTTAAGATGATGAAGCAAGTTACATCTTGATTGTTTGTATAATAATTCACATGATTTTAGCAACTGACAATGTTATGAACAATTCTGACTTAAGACGATGTGTACACTGGCTACGTACAAAGTATTGGATAACTCCTGATACCATCGATTCGGCATCATTATAATGGCTATTACTTTACTGAAAAAACGACATACTGTCATTTCTTCATGAACACATTTATAATGAAAAATTTATCAAAAATGAATCATATTTTCTTTGTATTTCTGTATTTTTCTAAAAGCTACATCAAATTGGGTTATTTTCAAATTCACATGATCGATGTTTCTCACTATTTACCGAAAACTATGGATCCACTTATACATTTAAATCAAACGATAATGCAGTGAAACAACTATGGACGAGTACAATCAATAAATTACTTATGAATCAATTGTACAATTTACGAGTTAATACGGATCCACAACTACAGACATTCAATAGATTATCGATTTCAAGTAGTCACTTTTCTTGGCTGAATCCAAATTTACCAGTAAATTCTAAAGTAAAGCAATTAAAAGAGAAGTGAAATTAACATTTTTAAAAATAACGTCTGATTTTTCATTTCGCTCACATTCTATGAATATTTTGGACAAAGGCAATTTAAAAACAGTTTATAATAATATTGTTCACAATGGGGGAGGTTAGTTGTGTTATAAAATCCGTCATTTATCAAAAATTACACGTTTTGCTCTATTAAAATCAGAATAACGGTGTGAACAATGGTTTTATATAAGAATATTTTTCAGTTTTCTGATAAGTCAACTTACCTTATAATCCTTTAGGTCATACATTTCAAAAATAACGTATATCAATCAAATTTTATCAAGTATTTTTTGCCTGACTATATGCTTCGTGTTTTTTTTTGTGATTTTCACAAAGTACCTTACATTTATTTTTAAAAGTCTACATATGAAAAAATTTAATCCATCCAAATTGATCTGATACATCTTTAGAAGTTGAGGTCATTCTCTAATTTCTTTGATATTATTTTAACTTACTTAATATATATAAGTAGTATATATTTTTCTTGTTAATAATTCACTTTTTTTTCGTAAAAATGTATGGAGAAAATTATTACCACCTGTTGATATGCCGATGTGGAAGTAGGTAATCAGTTAGCATCGTATCCATGGGCTTTCGTAATTCTGGAAAGCAAAAAAATGAATAAGCAAAAGACTTACTAAACTCAACTTGGATGCTTCTACAAAATAAAGGATATAAATTTTGTCCAATCGATATGTTGTCATATAAAAAATTAGAACTGTTGTGAACAGTTATACACAAGTACACCGAAACTGTTTACATTATCTCATATTTTTTAAAAGCAGTCTTTTTAAAAATATATACAATGCCTCAGATCAAGGATTTAAGTCCACTGATGAATAAAATACCCTAGATTGCCATGGGTCTGCTATTTTGGATAATTAAATCCTACACGTTGTGTACTTAATTATGCCTTGGTAAACAAAAAACAGTATAATAGATTTGACTGCTTTGAAATGCACTTAAATAGAGATGAACCATCCAAATGCATTCCGTCGATAATCTTATTACATTTTATCATTCTCTAAGCCTTTGTATCATCAAGATATAGCGAAACTGAAGTCATCATACGACTAGGAAGGTTATCTTTAGATATCGTTAATCCAGTGACTAGCTCTTTAAGAAGCTCGTTAAAGACTATAACAGAAGTTGATGTCAATGAGATTCATACTATTAAACTACCGTTGGAGATTTCCATAATAAAACGGAACAGCTGTTTAGCGCTTGTCAATTTTTAAAAATTATCTAACTTAGGTTAGTTCCTGATATAAACCATAAAATTCAACAGTCTTCATAAAATCCTTGCAATTTTTGTGTTGATTTGTCCTAAACCGTTTAATTTTCAAAATTCTTATTTTCCAAAGAAGTTAGACGCTTCAAAAGCTCATCTTCCATCCAAAATTGTATAATGATCCATTATTATTTACATGATCTTTTTATTGTGACATCGTAGTGATTACAATTTTATATCAGCATTTTTTGTAATCCTATCTGAATGATTAGATGTTACGTTTCTGATAACAAAACAGAATGTTTGTTACAAAAATGCAAGTCATTATTTTGCAATTTGTATGGTGGACTTTTATTGACTGGTATCAAACATGTAACAAGAAATATACTAAGTGAATACTCGAAATTTATTGATCTTATTTCTCTATGTATTTTCTCTTTGGCTTTTAATTGTCTTAGCTGAATGTCTTGATTGTTAGACTGTTATTGCCAACATAACCAATACAATATTAAAAAGGAAGCAAATTAACAAAGCTTCTTCACAGTTGACTAACAATTTTTGTTATCAACACTTAATTTGGTTCACTGTCATCCATGCTTATATTCCCAATATATATACATCTATTTCCACCATTTTTTAGGCTGAGATAAGCATTAAGCCTGTAGCACTTCAAGCTTTTATCTGAACGAAATATTGGGTCAACTGATTACTAAGAAATCTGGGTATCATGCTTTTCTAAATTGAACTGAAAGGATAAAACACCACCAAAGTCCTGCTCCTGAACTGAAAATTTTCATCCACTTCAAAACTACGTGTATATATGTGTGTGTTTACATGAACAATAGTTTGTCTACCTTAACAACCTTAACGGCATATATCACAGATGTGAACTGATGACAGAAATAACGGTTGATTTACCGTTTAGAATCACATGAATATGATTAGATTAAAACATTTTATACAGTATTATATTCTAGAGATTGACATATATATGATACACAATTACCCCATTCCAGTAATTTTACAAGTAAATTGGTCTTTGATAACAAATTCCGAAAATTATGATTCTTTGAATCTTGAGATATCTTGTTGCATGTAGGAATTTTTTTGATGAGCAAATGAATAATTGTGGCTAAAGCGAATCGGATCAAGAAATACACATACCAATCTATATTTACTTATTTCTAATGAAAATAATAATTTTTTTCCATTTCCCTAGTGTTTAGTCTACCGGTTTATTGATTTAATAAATAGGTGTTTACTTTAGTAGAAAAACGTTATTAATTCGTTTTCTAACGATCATATCATGAGGTGATTATATCCATTGACTAGAAAACTGAACATATCAGAATATGAATCTTAAACTAATTCTGTTATGTAATTGAATGTGTTTACACTGAAGTAAACTATAAAAGTAAAGGATGTAGAAAGGGTAATTTATTAAATTTGGCTCCATAAAACCATTCTCTTGTTTATTACGATTTAATTTTTTTTACTGAAGTTTGTTTTCTATGTTTTTAGTAAAAAAAATAGGTAGTTTAACTGTAGAGAAAAAATAATGATTGAAAAACACTAGAATAATTTCGCAACCATAATTAGATTATTAAAATTAGTAAAATGTTTTTGCCATTTACTTCCGAAGGAATAAATCAGTGTTAAGGAAGAAATAAACATGGTTTCAGTGAAAACTCAATGATGCATGAGTACATAAATCTCAATCTTAAAAAAGACCACTCGTTAATCGAATAGCTGATGGTAATGTCTGTGGTTGTTACATTGTGAATCCCAGGGCGATAAATAATTGTCTAAAAGTTACAGATACACCTTCATAATAAATGCTAATTACCACGATGCTTAAATCAAAAGCTACTTATTGATTGTTCTCAACTACGAGACATAAAAATTTAGTGCATATGGTTTTCAATCAATTAGACTAGTGGAGACATTTAAATTCAATCAACATTAAATTTTACATCCTAGTGAAGATTAAATTATGAGTAACTTCTGAGAGCGACTAATGGAATAATATTATACATATATTCTTATTGTATAACTATTGAGTAACTACGTTATGTATATTTATATTCCTATTATTATAAGCCTTATTTTGACCTATTATGACTATTTGACTATTATGGTACGATTTACTATTCTTAAATTTGAATCGGTTTAGTGATTGTAGTCTCCCACAATCACAGTAACTTTTTGGCTTGATGTTGTGCAAATGTTATTTTCTATTTTATGGCATGACGTTGTCTGGTTGGCTTGTATGTAAACCAGGTATGCTTGAAATAAGTGATTCATGTAGTGGAATCTGGTATTGGCGTTGTGGATTCAACAGGCAAGGGTAGGCAGGAGAAAGGACCAATAAGGACTCTAGGGTGCTTATACTGTTCAATAGGTGATTGTTTTGACACAGTGCTGAGATTGTCTAAATCGTATTCTGATTGGCGAACATGTCACGTGTTAATTAGTCGGGCAAAAGTCACAAAACTAAGGATTAAACAAACATGACATAGGTAATCGCTTAAGGATGTTATCATTACATTCAACGAAACAATCTAATTTGTTTTTATTTGATACGATTTATATTTCTTGGTGGTTATTGTGATGCTTATGTTGTGATGTATTACAGTTGACGTTTGCCTACACTGCATGTGCTTTTACATCTTAAAAATATAGTTGATTAACATTATTTTAGCACAATCATTTCCATGTACTTTGATGACATGTATTCATTGAATTAAAAAAAACCAATATGTCATATTTGGAGCTGACTTATTAGAAGTAATGTCGGACCCCAAAGCTGTCCAATAAACAGAATAAAGCAAACCCTAAAAGCAACAAATGTTGATGATTATCTAAACATAAACTAATTATAATTAACCTTTTATTTAACGAATCTTCGTGACATTCAGGTTTACATTTCGAAAGAATATTATATTCGCCGATATATTTGTATCATCTCTTATGTTTTATTGACAATGTTTTGACTACTGTTTATTTATTATTTATTTAAACATATAAATGTTTGTACAAAGAGGCACCGAATACATAAGCGCCACACAAATCGTTCGTTTTGTTTTAGAGCTGGGGTACTACTTGTGTGCCCGGGCCGAAACAGGTGGTTTTCTTGGAGGACCACTCCCAAAGCCTCTGACCTAAAGGTCTAACCAACAGGGAGGCAGATCATCGTAAGGAGATGCGGTCTCATGGTAGCCGGTGACCAACAATAGCTTCATACGCTATTTGTTACCTCAGGATACTGGGGCCCATGTGCACCATAGGTTTGGAATCAGGGTTTTTCAACTCCCCTAAGTGAACTCTCAGTGTCCAACGACTCGGTTAAGGCGCCCGAAATTTGCTTTTAGTTCTCTAAATTTCGTAAACAATTCCCCTGGCTCGAGAAGGCAGTGAGTAGGACTTTCCTGACAAACGTTGTGTACGCGTGGCCACGTGAGAGCATTTAGAGAGGGCGAGCTGACTTTCTCCATCCTCGACTGTAACATTGCATTTAAGAGCATTTTAAATTACGGTTGTCTTTAGTAGTTTTTTATTTTAACTATTAAAAGATTATCGTATAGAAAGCAATAAAATATTATAAACTCAAATTGTGCTTAGAGATTCATAGGAAGTGAAAACATTTGAAATTTAGTGGCATGTATATGCTATTTTGTTTTCAGTTTACTTTTGATGACAAGAAAATACACAAATTCATTGGGGGAAAAAATCAATTCTAGACTTGTTATTTT